CGAGGTTATATGTATATATAATTATAGTTGACATACAGTGTTATTCAACATCAGTTTCAGAAATACAATGCGTTGGTAAGGCCTCCACATCAACTATGAAGTGGACTCCCCAAAAACGCATTGTTCCATGTGGCTCCCTAAGAAATGCTTACAACGTTATTGATTGTATTCCTTGGACTATCTTTTTCTATCCCTGAGGCCATATTACATTTAACAAAACAGCTTCCCAGTCGCTAAATCATGCTCGAGTGGCAGCTCCTGCCTATTCCAGAAGCTGATGGTAATCCTAGGCTGACATTGTTGGATTAAAGAACAAATAACAACAAGTCTAGTTTTGTAGTAATTCTACACCCTCATCAAATGTTCAAAAGTTGCCTGTGAGTATTTTTTCTTAACAGATCCAACGTCTTCCTGGAAATAACCTACCTATTTTCTTTAGGGCTATATTCATTCAAATCATGTTTATTTTGCTGCTTATATGTTAAACTTTACCTTTTTAGAACACATGAATTACATCCATATGGAAAATGCTTGGCTCTGTGGCAGAGCCATACTCACCAAGAAAGAACAAGGGGGAAAAGTACTATTTTAGGGTCTGGGGTTTTTATCTTCTACCTATGGTTTATGGTTATTCTAGGTTTACTTGTAACAACTTCCTGAAAAAAATAATTCTCTCCAATGAAAGAGCTAATTTCTGGTGGAAAGTTAATATCCAGTTATCTTCAGCTTCATAAATTCTCTCATTAATATCATCACTAATATATCAGACGTAGCCCTGATATATTAGCCCAAATACAAGAGGAAAAAATTCTGCCTTTTTTTTTTTTTAAGAACTTTACAGAAGCGTTAAGCCAACCATTAGTAAAATTTAACCCAACAGTAGAAAATGTTTTCTGAAGGTTGCAGAATTTTGGGGATGAGATATGACAGGAAATAATTTATCCGTATAAGGGTTGAACAATAATCTTTTCAGAGAAGGTTATAAATACCTATATTAGAAGCCCACAGTGCTATTTTCAGAATGAATTATTCTCTTGCAGTTTTCAAGAGTTCGATTGACATAAGTATATGCAAAATCTCAACCTGTAAAAGGGCTTAGGGAGAAGCTAGAGGACTATCAAAGTAACAAAAGGACTGTTATTCATCACAATGTCTCATCATAGATACACATACTCCTGCACATCAGCGTTGGAAAGGACCTTGGAGTCCCTCTAATCTAATTGCCTCATTTTATCACCTAGGAAATTAAGGCCCAGAGAGGTTAAACATGCTGACTAACATGCACAGCTGGCTATTAACAGAGTTATCATCGCAATCCCATTCTTTGTACTATGACTACAATTACTTTTGTCATTGTATTTCATTGTCTTTAAGGTTTTAATGGTAAGAGAAGGATTGGGCTATGAAAGAGGATGGACAGGAGAAAAGAGGGATGGATGATGGTGAGAAGGAGAGGGGAGGATTCTCATCCCTTTTTCTATAAGAGGATGTCCAAAGTCTCTTGACTTCCTGATAATGTTACCTATTTCATGGAGTTGTGCATACCAGGAGAGGACACCCACCCCTCCCAACCCCCAGCACTTCTATATTCATCTAACACCATTTTCTGAAGGGAGTAATAGCTTGGGATGTTTTAAGATGAGCACCTAGTGTAAGGTGTGGAGTTAGGGCCTTAGATTATTCTGTGAAAGAGAAGAAAACTAATGGCTCATGGACCTGATGTTGGGTGGGCAGGAGGGGTAGAGAGTCAAACTATTAGTTCCATACATTAGTGACTAGAATCAAATTCATGCTGCATAGCTTCTCTACTGAAGGGTTAGAAGGGTTTGGGCTCAATTATTCTGAGAATATTCTATTTCTCTTTGTCTATGTTGACAGATACAGAGATTCACAAGTTCAGAAATTCCATTCATAGTTTCACAATTACTGGTAACAAAAGTTCTCTAACTTCTTTGGAAATGAATGCTCTTTCCCCGTTAGCCCTCTTTCTAATACAAACTCAACCAGTTCAGGGTTAAATCTCCCTGAGTTGCACAGAATTCTTGGGGGGGTGGAGAATTATCTACTATTTCTGTTCTGTTATTTAAACAAGGCACTACAACAAAGAAGGAAAACATAAATAAACATTTTTAAACAAAGAAGTACTTACAATACCTTGTTTTCTTCCACTGGAGCAGAATTGGTAATTCGTACCTAAAGTAAGAAATTGTGGCTGAGTTAAGTAACTTTTAACTGTAGAAACTTAAAAAAAAATTCTAGCACCTCCCTCATTTTTGCCCCACCCTTTGATTCACTTTCACAAGGCGTACACTCTTCCGTTCAGATTTATCTTGGACACAAGCTCAAATAAAAGGACAGAGAGATGATTAAGGTGATACCTGAATTTTTTTAATTACCCACATTTTCCATGTTTGTCCACATGTAGAGACCTGAATTCTGACACATTGTAACTCACAGTTTTCTTGCTTAATCTCTTCTCTAGCTTGCCAACTGGTAGCAATTAATGTGCTCTCCTTAAAAAAAAAAAAAAATAGAAAGCTTCAAATGAGTGGAATAATGGGCAATGAAATGGAAACTATTACTGGTAAAGCATTTACTGTTAAACTGTTAAAGTTAGTCTTCATACTCTTCACGTTTGGAATGTTGGTGTAGAACGGTGAGCATAATTAAAATGGGTGTGCCGTCCAATCCTCACCCCCAGGGACAAGGAGCCTGGATCAATGATTTAGATCCAGTTACTGAGTCAGATGTCAGTTCCCCATCTCTGGTTCTCTTTTGTTTCTCCCTATAAATGTTCCCTCACTCTTCCATATTTATTACAAAAGAAAAACAATACATTAGAGTTTCATTTTCTATCACAGCATGCCTGTGCGTGGAGGAGTGGAGGACGGAGTGAAGAGAACGGTGGGAATGGAGGAACAGGAGCGAGGAAGGGAAAGGAGGAGCCTCTCTATTTATAACACACTTGGTATGTTATTCTTCATGCAGCTTTTATTTTTCTTTTTATGGGGCGCTCATATCTTCTGGTGAGCTGGCTCAGGGTTTAATGTTGGTATAGAACCTACAGCAGAATGCTCCGCTGGCTTCCACCAGGGAGTGTGACTTGTGGCAGGGAATTCTGTGATGCCTGCCTGACGCATGCAGAGCAGATATTATTATCCATGGGTGCCTCCAGACTATTAGCTGGAAGTATCATATGGGCTGCGTCACTGCACAACATGAAGACACTCTGGTTATTGGCGTTGCATTAAGTGCAGCAATGCAGATTCCGTTGAAGGAGCCAAGGAATTGTTTCATCTTCTTTGAAGTCACAGACTAAGTTTGATTCATTTTCCCCCCAAAACTTCCTCCAGATTCCTTTCCCACTTTCTCTTGATTAAAATCTTTACAAACAGACGTACGACTAACTACATCCATAAAATTATGGTCTTGCATTATGCTGATGCTTGTTTTTTATGGGACGGGGGCAGAATAACGTATCCTAAGCTAACAGTATATTATTAGCATAATTTTGTTTGTTTGTTGTTGTTAGTTATGGTCTGCCTTATGTATATTTAACAATATATACAGATATTACTAGTGTGGGTAGAGCGATAGAAGCTAAGTGAATGGGGAGATTTTTTGTTCTAGTCTTTTCATGATATTTGGTGTTTAGACCACATGAATTTATTAGGTGTGCAAAAAATGTTGAAATAAAAGAGAACTCCAAGTGAATCAATATTAGTCTAACAGGAGTCCAGAAAAAGACAGTAGGTAGAGTGGGACAGAGACAATTTAATGGGTAATGGCTGTCTTACTCAGTTTGGGTTTCCATAACAGAATGCCATTGACTGGGAGCTTAAATAACAAACATGTATTTTTCACAATCCTGGAAGCTTGAAGTCTGAGATCAGGGTGCTGGCACAGTCTGCTTCTTGGTCAGGACTCCCTTCTTGGTTCACAGATGGCTTCCTTTTTTCCATGTCCTCACAAGGAAGAGAGAGGAAGCTCTGGTCCCGTTACCTCTTTATAAAGGTACTAATTACATGGGAACTCCATCCTCAGGACCTAGTCTAATCCTAATTACAATGCTTCCCAACTGCCCCACCTCCAAACACCATTACATTGGAGATTAGTGTTTCAGCATCTATACTGGGACACGGGATGGGGGTGGGGGACTGGGACACAAACATTCAGTCCACAGCAATGGCTAAGAGTTTCCCCAAACTGAAGCAAGATCCAAGCTCCCAGAGGAAACTTCTGCTGATGAACAAGACAAATTTTTAAAAACAATTTTAAAAAGTACTCTTAATGTAATGAAATATCGAGAAAATTATCAAAAACAAAACAAAACAAAATGATTAAAACTACAAGGAGAAAGAATTATCTTGACTTCAAATTTCCCATCAGCAACTTTGGTACCAGAAGGTAATAAAACCATACCCTTAAAGTGCTTTGAACTTGGACTTCTACACTCTAACTCTAACTCAATAGTGAGAGTGAAATGGGCATCTTAAGATGCCCTCACAACAATTCAGAAAACTACTGCTGACTGCCTTGCTGAATGAATTATTGAAGCACATAGAAAAATGAATCTAAATGTAAGTAGGAAGATGCAAAAAGCAAGGACTCCTAATTTTCAAGAATGTCTGATTTAGAGAAAATAAACCATAATTCAAGTCTTAAAATATTAACTGAATCATTTCCTGGGATTCTATATTTGACCAGCTGACAGGAAGTAAATAAAATCAGAGACAGTTTTATTGCTTACAAAGATAATGATCATAATAACTAGTATTTTTTAAATACTGTATATACCAAGAATTTTTTTAGTTGCTTGTTATGCATTAATTCATTTAATCATAACAATCTTATGAGAAAAGCATTATTTTCCCTAGTTTACACTGAAAGAAAAGAAGCACAAAGAAACACCATTCCTTGCCCACACTTAAGTGATTCAGAAGAGTTAGAGCTGGAATTTAGATGCAGATAGTCAAGCTCCTTGGGTCATCCACTTGTGCTTTCTATCAGAGGGAGGATGGTGCCTTGGATACATTTTCAGGATCCAGCCTCACTTCTGAAGCCAGACTCTCAAGCCAGTTCAGAAACCCCCAGACCTCCTATCTGCTTTTGTTCTCAGGTCTTACATTATGTTCTGTTCTGCCTCTGATTTACTCAAAAGCACTGAGTGCTATTTGAAGCAAACACCCCTAAAAGAAGCCATCCTGCATGTCCCCTTCAGCCCATCTCCACTCCTCTGAACTTTCAGATCAATGACCATGACCTTGATTCTATGTCCAGACCACTGGATTTGATATTTATTTCTGATGTCCTTGAGGTTTAAACACTGGTATCCCCAAGGGACTCTGACCCAGACTTGTGATGCCTTTTGCTGCTGGAAGGCAGTCCTGAACCATTTTTCACACAACCTCATCCCACCCCCAACAGTGGGGCTCCTTGCAAGAGGGGCGGTTAGCCCCTTGACGCCTTTATTCTGTTTTTCCTTGGTTTCCACAAATGAGCCACAATGCCTGATTTTGGGGAATCAAGATATAAGAAGTCTTATAATCTGATGACCTAATGAACTGACAACAAACAAATGGTTGTGTGGAAACATGTTTATTTAGTATATGTTTATAATTTTACATAAGGTACAGACACATCTATGTGGTACATAATGTTATAAATGCACATAACATATATTTGCCTGTTGTTCAATGCTTTCTTCTAGGTTTTTATAATAGAAGGGCATAGGACACCTAGTCACCCTTCACAAAAACAAATAAATGCATTTCCTTAGAAAGAAACATAGTGATCACCTGCTTCTGTAGCTGTGTCAGCTACATTAAATAGACAGTGAACAATAATAAAAAAACATTATATAAAATAATAAATAACAAAGTAAAAGTTAATGTTGTAAAATAACCTAAGAGTAAGGAAAAACTAAAAGGGACATCACCTCATTTCAAGAGACCAAACGATTAATAGTGTTGCAATGCTATAATTGACAGTTGTCAAGTTATTTCTGTATTTATATTTAGTGTGGAGTAGAAGTTGTTCAGGAAAACAGAAATACATAAAGTCCTTACATTTTTGGTGCTTATAGCAATTGTGAAACTTATAGCTCATGTTACAAAATCCTATACAGATCAGAACCTTTCAATTTTAGGGCGAGGCAAATCTACCGAAAAAGAGGATGGTCTTGGTTGTTCTGTGCATTATAAAGAAGAGGAAAGGATGGTCTGCCACAAACTGTGGGCCTCCATGGCCAGTTCTTCCTGACATGATGGCGCCCGTGCCAGCTGTTGCTTCAGTGCCCTCCTCATTGACATCCACAGTGGCCTGATGAAACACTTCAGACAGATACAGGTCGTTCCCTTCCGACATGCCTAAGAAATTGGCCTGGTCCATGTTGAAGGCATCCACCATTCCCATATGTCTCAGAATGGATTTGAGTTCATAACGCTCTTCTAATTTGAACTGGGGCAGGTACACCTCGATGTCATCTTCACTCATGGTGTCTTTGCTGATCCACATGTTGAGTTTGTCATAAGTTATTTCACTCTCCAGCTACAAATAAAAAAATAAATTAAAAGCAGTGAGTGCTTAGAAAAGAAGGGAAACAGCTTCTAAGTCTAATGTTAAAAAATCAGTGACTTTAGCTGTTCGTCCAGAACCGCCATCTTCCAGTAATTCGCCAAAATGACCAACACAAAGGGAAAGCAGAGAGGCCCCACTGTAGGCTCTCTAGGTCTCTTAGAAAACATGGAGTCATTCCTATGCCCACATACATGTGAATCTACAAGAGAGGTGATATTGCAGACATTAGGGAATAGGCACTGTTCAAAAAGGAACGCCCCACAAATGTCACCACTGGAAATGTAAAACTGGAAAAAGCTATAATGTTACCCAGAATGCAATGGGCATTGTTGTAAACAAGTCAAGGGTAGGATTCTTGCCAAGAGAATTTAATGTTTGTGTCCAGCATATCAAGCACTCTCAGAGCCGAGACAGCTTCCTGAAACATGTGAAGGAAAATAATAGAAAAAAAAAAAGGAGAAAGCCAAAGAGAAAAGTACCTGGGTTCAACTGAAGCACCAGCCTGCCCCACCCAGAGAAGCACATTTTGGAAAACCAACAGAAAGGAGCTTGAGCTGCTGGAACCCATCCCCTATGAATTCATGGCATGATAGATATAAAAATATAAAAGACGTCTGTACAGTTAAAAATATTTCTTTTAATTGAGTAGACGTGTGGTATCCCCTCCCCCTAAGAAATATTAAAAAAAAAATCAGTGACTTTAACTTTAGTACATTGTGGGTGACATAAAAATTTAATAGACTAGTAAAGTTTTGGCATGAATGACATATGTATGTGATGTATGTATGACATCTGTTTAAGGCTTTGAACAGAAGTTTGAGACATGCCACATTTACTATCAACCGATTCACGTGTTTCTGTGAAGAATGGCATATCACTTCCTAAATTATAGACAGGTTCGTCATGAAAGGTAAGTTTAGCCCCAGAAGTCTAAAACAATTGAAGTTGAAATGGCTTACCAACTCCAAGCCTGTAGACACATCAGCAATCTCATCTGGAAGCAACAGGAACATGCTGACATCTCCAGCATATGGGAGTTCTAGGATCTGAGTTTTCAGGTCTTCTATGTAGCCAACGTTCAGCTTTTTATGCAAGTACATCATCTGTACAGGTTTACTCTGGGTCTAAAATGATTAAAGAGTAAAATATAAAAGTTGATACCAAGATGTCAAGATTTATAGTTAGATTTAAAAGAGAATGGGTTCTGCTTCAGTGTTTAAGAAATACATTTTTTGTAAACTAATAATAATAATAATAATAAATTATTTGTATACACTTAGAATGGCTCTGATCCTACTACCTTTTTTCTTTTTTAAGATTTAATTGGGGAACCAGGGAAGGGGAACAGACAAGTTGCTGTCCTTTTGTTCTTCAGTCTTTTGTGGAGGA